TAAGTACACAAGTTTTCATATATTCAAACCGATTTTTATTATCATGTGTGTTATCGGTCTTTAAAAACAAATCAGAGGCTGGGAATTTAGCCCACATCCAATAATGTTAACATTATTCTCAGAGTAAGTATTGTATATTGTTCTGTCTGAGACTATCGTGCTAAGCAGAATTGTTGGAGGAAACAAGTTATAATTATTTAAATAGTTTATAAGTTCAGTAATGGTCGGATTCATTTTTGACAATTTTCTAACAATTTTAATTTGTACATTATTTACATTATTACTATTGTCCTCATCTTTGTCGCCATATTTATTACAACGTTTCGGCCGTTCTACGCTCCGGCCTTCTTCAGGTGGTTAACTTCGAACTTAACCCTTTTTTTTCGCTCACTGGGGTAGACTGTTATAGTTCCACGTGCCATGTTTAATGGATGTCAGTTATCAGTTATCTCCTGTTAATTTCCCTCTGAAAGTTCTGCACTACCTTAACCGGGTATTGAACTCACACTCTTTTGGGTTCTGTCACTGGATCTAACCAATGCCTTTACATTATTTACTTTATCCACTGTGCCATGTGTCCTAGATGACATCTGTGATTGAATTTCTGGGTATTATAAACCTAATGTCTTCAGCAACCATTTTTACCAGTGCTTATATTGTAATTTTTTTTTGCTGTTATCATTTCATGTTTTTAACAGAGCTCATATTGCAATTTTTGTTGTTATTATCGCTTTTCTCTGGCACTCCTTATTACTGGTTCCCATATTGTATTCATTTCTATGCTTGGTTAGCTCAGGAGATTTTTGTGGCCTAGCATATGTGCCGATTCCTTAAGTTTACGAATTGTACAATGTTGTTCCTTGTCTTTGTGCAAAGCTTTTAAAAAATCATTGAAAATTTTTTATGGATACGTGACAAGATGACAGAATCTTATGAATGCATGACAAAATGATAGATAATTTTTACGGATACACAAAAAAATGTCAAAATTTGTATGAATACATGAGAAATAGCACAATTTGTATGGATAAAATTGACAAAATCTCTATGGCTACATGGCAAAATGGCAATGGCTATATGGCCAGTGTCAGCATTTGAAATAATTTATGAAAGATTAACAACATTTGTATTGTTACATAACAAAATTAAAGAATATTTGTATGGATACATGGAAAAATGAAAAAGAAAAATTAATGAATACATGACAAAATAACAGAAAAATTGTATTGATTCATTAAAATTAGTACATTTATAAGGATACATGAGAAAATGATAAAATGTGTATGGTTACATGAAAAAATGACATATTCTGTATGCATATATGACATATCCATAGAAAATGTGTATGGCTATATGAAAAAATCACAACATTTGTATGGATACATGATAAAATATATATGGTTACATGACAAAAAGACAAAATTTATATGGACACATTTTGTCATATATCTATACAAAAGTTTCATTTTTAATGTAAGCTTAGAAAAATTTGCCAGGTATCCATATAAATCTTCTTTATTTTTTTTTGTATTATACAATATTTTGTGATTTTGTCATGTATTTTTGTGATTTGTATCCGTAGCTGTTTATTCTGCTATGCCGCTATAATTGTCTATCGTTTGTGCTCTATGCAATGATTCTTCCCTTAACCCTGTCCATATTCTGCCATTTTCAAAATACCCCCCTCTGCCTCTCTTGCATTCAATATGTTCTTTGAGAGCCAAATTTTTCGAGCCATCTTTCATCCTTATGTAAACCATAAATTAAAACTTTTTCGTTTCTTTGTCATATTCTGCCAATAGGATTCACAGCATTCCTCTGTAGAACCACATCTCTCTTCCCTGAAATGTCATTTTCCTCTATTAGGGAATTGTCCAACACTTAGTGCCATATAGGAAGAATAATACTATATAACTGTTGAATATTCTAATTATTATTTCCAGCGCATTTTCTTAATATTTTGCTTAGCATTTGGAAAGCATTTTCACTATCCTAATGCGTGTTCGGCTGTCGGTGTCGCATTTTTCATAACTTTTATATGTGAATATGAGCATAGAAACAAATCATATGTTTTTAATATGTTTATCAATAGGAAAAGTTTTATTTTAAAAACATGGGTTATTCTTGGTCTCATATATCTTCGAGGGAGATAAGAGTTAGCTTTTCGTACGTGTGAGGAAAGGTTTACAGTTACAGCCTTGATTCCCAGTACGAAAAAAGTGTACTATAAGTGTATAGTAATCGCTATTTTTATTCTTTGCCGTTTAAATAGATATGGAAAAAATTAACTGCTCGGTTCCCAGGTGCCATTGACAGTCACACATCTCGAAAAGACTATCCTAACGCTTTCTCTGTTATTGCTTCTAAATCTAATCTTTTCCTTAATTTCAGTAAAATTCGTAGGCTTGGTTATTTACTAGCTTACAATAATTTAGTACAATTCTCTGAAGTTTGGCCCACATTGAGAATGGAACTGATTTGCGAAAAAGTAATTAGCTGATCTTCAAGTTCCTGTAGGTACCGTTGTTATTTAGTGTAGCAGACGTAGTAAACCGGAACTCGAGTCGAGGGTCGGAAGCGGTGAATGAGTTTTTTTTACCGACGTCTGAAAGTGAGAGAGTTCGTCTGGGTAAGGCGTGTAGGACTTCTATTTGAGACAGGGTGAGTGCCTTGTTCCGTGAATCCAGACTATCTTGGAGAAAAGAGTGAGGTCTTTCGGGGTACACCGTACGATACGTGTAGTAGTGACAGAACGAACGAACGAACGAACGAAGCGGATATAAGACAGAGAACAATAAAATACCTGGAAGCCGGTGTAGAGGGGAGAAACGCCCAAACTGAAATTACGTCCGACAACAGAGTAGCTAATTTTTTTTTACCACATTTAATTATTTCATTTAATCCTGCACTAGATTAAAATAGTAAAGTACTCAATAAGCACGTAATTCACTAACCCAGTGAATTGGTTCTCTGGCATGGGTTTGTACTTACAGTGTACTCAGTGAAGATTTAAAGAATAATTATTGCGTCGTAAGTCAAGCAACTTAGAAATTTCTCAACTATATGAACCAAAACCAGGTTTTAATGATCTATAAATAATGGACGTAGCCTGGATTTCTCTGGAGGTTTTTTGTGGTGTCTCATTAAAGAAAATAGTATTTTTACTGGCATGAAAATTTTTTTAGAAAACTAATATCTGTGTGAAAAATGTAGTCTCATATAAAAGACAGTCTAAAAGCCAGGTCGATAGTGTCACGTTTGTTAATGTTTTCTATATACAGGCTGGAAAATATTTTGTCAAGGATTTTTTGTCAGCATTATTCGACAGGAAATGTTTTTAATTCTTAAGGGTGAGTAAAAATTATATATATAAAAAATAATGATTCAAATCTACGTGTTCAGAATTAATGAAAAAATAACAAATTTAGATGACTGTCGGTGAAATGCCTGAAACAATAAATCGGAAGGCGCGTCTCAATGTTTTAAATTTATTTCGAGATTTTCTTTGATCCGCTTGGCAGTTTTGTTCTTTATTAAGTCTTCCTTTGAGAAGTTTTTTCTGGTTTTTATTATGGTCTCCTTTTAGAACTTGGCTTTCTTTTTACTCTTTCTCGCTTTTCATTTGTTTATTTTTGTTCATTTCGTTTACTTGTTTTTAATTTCTTTCTTTCTCTTTTCTTACAGTGATTTATTCTATTGTTTAGACTTTATTTTCTATCGCTATTCTTTCGTTATATTATTTATCTCGTCATTTCAGTCAAGATTCCTTTGTAATGTTATTGACTCTTATATATGAGCATCTTATCTAATTTTTCTTGTCTTCGAACAAGCGTTTATCTTTTCTGGATACAGAGTGTGTAGAAACTGTCAAAATGTCCTGTAATTCCGAGCGCTTCCAGCTATACTTTTAGCCATTATGAAGTACAGCATTTAGGCAGTTTCTACACAGTTCAGAAAAAAACTTGTTCGAACACATGAAAAATTAGATAAAAAGCTCAGTTGTAGTACCGTGTCTGTCGTTTTTAATGAAACATGTATAAATGAAGGATTGCTGCCTAAATACACAATATATATATATATATATATATATATATATATATATATATATATATATATATATATATATATATCGTATAAAGATAGATACAGAAAGTTTAGACATAGGAATCAATACTGCATAGTTACTGTCAGTTTCTCGCGTAAATGTGATCTTCAGATCAATATCACTGAGAAAGAAAAGATATTGTTCTGAAGAACCTATTCAGGCAAAGATAGCTATCACCGTGCTGTGTTAATTATTATATCCACACTCTCTATATTAATTTGCACAAAGGTGTATGTACGCTATCCCATGAAGTGGTATACTTATATAGTTGTTTACTAAGCATATTACAGTATAATTTTATGAGTCTCGGATGCCGAGTCATTATCAAGAAGTAAACCCTTGTGCGAATTAATTGGAGCAACTGCTTACTTTCCTTTCTTTCACCATATGGTCAAAGTGTGACAGGGTATAATCGATTTCTATTTTTCCTCAGATTATGTCATTTCCTGTGGTGTGCAGTAATATGAATCTATTTTCAGGGTGTATAATGTCATTTGTTTGGCCTTTAAATATATTACGTCATCCGTGATTGAATCAGATTTTCATCACACCCAGACACTATTGTCTCGACTGTCGATTATTTGTCCTACGGCCATTGCCTGCGATGGACACTACTCCAAGGAAGCATGCGAAAATGGTAATGCTACACACTAGCATGCCTTACCAGTGAGCAAATTAAAGTACTATAGACTGGCCTGGAAACTCTCCTGATTTAAATTCAATCGAGAATCTGTGGTCAGTCTTCAAGGGACTTTGTGGAATGGGCATACGAAGTACTAACATGTGCACTGCGTCATGTTTCATGGGGAAAATATTATAAAGAGTAAATAATAACGGAACTATCCTTTTTGTTTCAATTAATTTGCACAAGGGTGTAATAGTACACGAGTTTAGTATGTTGAACATTGGTCTACAGCGTACTTTCTTCATTTACATATCTTCTCTTTGTCAGGTTACCAAAGGTAGTAAAGTATTTTTAAATATATAAAATATTCCGTTATAAGTAACAAGCATAGTTAGGTATAACAAGCATTAGCAATTCAGTTCTAACTGCGGACCGCCTGCATCAAGATTTAGTAAATATAATTATATATAACTAGTGGGAGTTCGATTAATTATAGTATTAGTTTTCATTTGAGAAAGAAATATAAGTATGTATAGTAGATAAAACAAATGTTATTGAAATCATCATGACACGGCAGGTGTTTAGTCATGTTTTGTGGAATTCTCACCTTGCTTGGGGTAAAATGAATAAAAACAATTCTGGTCATCTGTTTTTTCTTTGAAAACAATCCTGAACATTAAGACTTGTACAATTCGTATATTTAACACTTTTTGTGATCTATCTATCTATCTATCTATCTATCTATCTATCTATCTATCTATCTATTATTCAATCAATAAATCAGTCAATCTATCTATCTATTTATCTATCTATCTATCTAGTCAAAATATTAAGTTGTGTTACACAGTCATTTTCTAGTGCGGCCAACTTTAACTAAAAGGTCATGGTAATAGTAGCTGTTTCCTTATAAGTTAAAATTCAGTATTCATTAAACGTACTAGCATTGATATTTTGGTTGATGCTTATAAAATAAATACTCCTTGGACTATCTGTCTATCAATCTATCTATCTATCTAGTCAAAATATTAAGTTGTGTCACACAGTCATCTTCTAGTATGGCCAACTTTAACCACATTTATAAAGCCTTTCTATTGTAACATTCTTTTCAGGAGAATAGGTTTCACAAGTCCAGTAAGTTTTATCACTCTTCCCAGTATTGATGGAGGGGAAGCATCCTTCCTTAACTTTTGCTTGAACCTGAGTGGGACGTCAACGTATTGATTATACCATTATTTTCTTTTCGACTTACATGGGATATCTATTCTAGTTGTCCGTCCTGGGTATGACGATAAACTGCGTCCGACAGCAAGGTCTCTGATCAGGAGCTTTTGAGGAGCATGAAACCACCTCTTAATTTCTGGTGTTCTCAGGTCCACTCTGACCCGGGGTGGTAGCACCTGTTAGGGGTCCCAGCTATGGGAAAATAGTTAACCCCGAAACTGAAGTAAAAAGCATTATAAAATTGTAAAAATATGTTTTAATACCAGAAATACATTGTAAAAAATTATTACCAGAAATATATTTTTGAAAAAAAAAAGACAAAAAAACTATTACCAGAAATAAATTTTTGCAAAAAAAAAATATTACCAGGAATACGTTTTTGAAAAAAAAAAAAATTACCAGCAATATATTTAAAAAAAAAAAAAACTATTACCAGAAATAAATTTTTGAAAAAAAAAAAAAAACAACAAAACTATTACCAGAAATAAATTTTTGAAAAAAAAAAAAAAAAAACTATTACCAAAAATAAATTTTTGAAAAAAAAATATTACCAGCAATACATGTTTTAAAATAATCTTACCAGCTATACAATGTTGAGGAACAAATCTTACCAGAAATAGATTTCTGACAAAACAAAATATTAACAGGAAAAAAAAAGGTGTCGGTACTAAATGAGCCATTGAGGTTGATATGCTGTAAAACAAACCAAACCAATATTCTAGTTATTGCTGCAATTGAAAATCCTCAAGTGATGTGGTTTCTGTTATTTGTTTCAGTTCTTTATTGCATCGTTCTTTACAATTAGGCGCATAACAAGATGTTAAGCATTTTTTTATTTGTAACATAAAATAGAACTGAGTGATGTGGCACCATTTACGAGGCAGAGAAAGGAAGAGAAAGAAAAGAAGGCAGAAAGAAAGGCGAGACGATTCGTAGGTGATACCCACCCACACACGGCTAAGAGACAATGAAAATATTGATAAGTAACAAATGAAAAAAATGACGACATTACAATGAGAGGGAATTTCTGAGTAAAAAAAGAAAGGGAAAGAAAGAAGGAATCAGATGTGTTTTGATAACGGCTGTGTTATCTAGGTGCGTAAACGAACGGCTGGACCACTGGCCAGGGAAAAATTCAAGTGAAAATGCTATTTCGATAAGTGACGAGAAACAGGCCACTAAAAAGGACTTTGGACAGATATGAAAAATTAAATGCCACACAAGCAGTAAAGCTGACCTAAGAAGGTTGTCGGGGGGACGACGTCACAGTGAATCAAAATACTGATTGTACCTATTCTGAGGATTCAACTGAGGGTGAATATACTCACATTTGTCCATTACCCCACAAAGCAAATATGTATTCAAAATATTGATTTCTGCCCCACAAACGACTGCCTGGTGAGAAACTCAGAAGTCTCATTCCTTGTTTAATTAAAGGAGAAAACCATTGACTGCAGCCTGGCCCATAACAATATACTAACTGTTTCACTAGTGTGACATGAAATAAATAAATAAAAAAAAAATATCTATATCTTGGATCAAATTTATCTTCATATATCGAGTTCAACGAGCAGAATACATAGCCTTTTCATCACTGGACAATCTATTCCCATATTCGATTGTCTCTACGTACAAAAGAAAAATTGGCGTATTACTTATTTATATAATAATATTTATATATATGCACCTTTATACTGTGCTAAATGTAGTTCTGAAACATTTAGGTGATTTATGAGATCTTACACAAATTATGACTGGAGATAATCGTACTGCATTCTCATAAATTAAAAATAAAAAAATATATATATTCGGACGCTGCCTAAATTGAACCCAAATAGAAAGTACGAGGAACTAAATTGAGAAATAACATTAAAACATACAATTATATCCCAATGTTATGACAGAGACGATGTCTGTTTAGACAATCTAAATAATTAGAATTAATTACAGTATTATTCAAAGAATGTATTATTAGTTTCATCAGACATTCCTTTTTCCTTTATTGCTTTCACTGAAATTAGAACAAAAAATAGTCAAATCCATGAATAGAAACGGCAGAAAATTCGCAGAAAGCATAGAGATTTCTTTGTTGCATTCTTTTTGCAGAATTTCTAAAATTATCTGTAATTCTGGTATACTTGAGACGATGATGTATTGAGCAAAATAAATGTCTGTAGATTTTTCAAGAGATCTGAATTTATTGTAAATCTAAAACGTTCATTCTAATTGCTTTAACGACTGAGAGGAATCTCGTGCAGGATTTGCAATAACAGTTCCTCAATTTTGTTTTGGAATAATGTTAATTAAATGAAGAAAAATGGAAGGAGGGATACTCAAATGCAGTACAAATATTAACTGAATTTTCCTTATTTTATACTAATGATAACCCAATACAAGGCTCGAAAGGTACTCAAGGTAGAGAGTTACTGTTAAAAAGGTTATGATGAATAAGGTGTAATATTCATTAAAGTGCAAGAAATGAAGAATTTGAGGATAAGGGGAAGAGATAACGATTGACACTTGACTTGAAGGGGCTTATCATTTAATGCTCTGGAAACTATCATGGCGAGATTTTGGTTTCACAAAATGACAGTTATCTTGAAAAAAGATGTCTGGCTGGAACGTTCACTTTAAATTAAGGATATGGATGAAATGAGGGTGATTCGACTCTGTGGAAGATGCATAGCGTGTCCTAGGAATAAAGGTGTAAATTGGTGAAATTGGAGCTCATCTGAAGATTTGCCAAAGAAGTAGCGGCCGAGTAGAGACAGGCGTGCGACGTCGCTCCCCTGGGAAAGCGACAGAAGAGTGAAAAATAAGGCATTCACCACTGACCGAGTAAACAAATTTGAATTCCGTTACGATGAGAAAGTTATGATTGAGCAGTTGAGGTCCAGTTATGGCGGCAATACTCCATTGTGATAGAGAAGGAGCCAGATGCTTCCTCAATTGTTAGAGGCTTACGGCTATATCACCACCGGTTCTCGTACGATCACCAAAGCTAAGCTACATCGATCATTGCCACTACTTAAATGGGTGACCGCTTGGGAATATTCCCTGATGTAAACTTGGATGTGGGTTTGGTGCAATAGATAACGACTCGAGATTGGAAAATTGGAGAGCCGAGTTCCAATTCCAGATGTTTTCGTTATATTCACTTACGCGCAAATACCTTTAAGAAAGGTATAAATCTACCTCTTCTATGGGTTAAAAAGTAAAACTTTTAACAGTAAATTATTATCACCCATAAATTTCATAACATCTATAAATATTTTGTCGCTTAAGATGTTTGTTTGTTTTGCAGCCTATCGACACTTTATGGGTCATTTAATGCTGAAATTTATTTTTCTTGGAAGCCTTACTAATTTCTTTTACAAAAATGTATTGCTGGTAATATTTGTCTATTTACAAAAAAGTATAGCTGGTAATGTTTTTAATATGATAATGTATTGTTGAAATGTTTGCTATAAAAATGTTTGTTATACTTTCATAGTGTTTTGACCCCTGTTTCTGTGTTCCTTATTTGCCCTTAACTGGGACCCTAACAGGTTCTACCACGCCAGGTCAGGGTGAACCTGGGAAGAACAGTAAAGAGGTGGTTCCATGTTCGTAAAGAATTTTCCATCAGAACTAAATAACCCGAAAAATGTTGATAAGTAGTAAAAAAAAAAAAATCAAATTCTACAATTCTGCAGCGTTAGAATGAAGCCAGTAATTTTCCAATGGGTTTTATCCGTTGTCTAGGGTAAATCTGAGCACTGCTTGGTGTTCGAAATATGGAACCTCATTAAGAGTGAAACTTTCATGACATTTTCAGCCCCGAGTATGTGTGTCTCTTCATTATCAATATCATTGACTCTCCAATGTTATGTTATGCAATGTTATCTGTATAAACCATTGTAGACATAGAGATATAGCATATATAAAGTAGATATGGAGATATAACATATATATATGTCTCAACGGCTGCTGTGATGCGTCTAGTGTGGTAGTCTTAAGTGGTAGTGCTTGTCGTTTCTCGCTTTCAGTTACCGCCGCTGGCTAGCAGCAATGCGAAAAGGGGAGCGGAGTGCGTAAGTCTTCCCCTACCAGTATATAGCCTCTCCATCAGCAAGTCCTATGTAGTGTCACCCCCTGGCGACACATGGCAACCGAGCACTTTGCGGGCTCGGGCTAAACTACAGGGGACGGGGGATGATTTTGCACCCCTCAACATGTGGCATGCTGGCCCAATGATGTGTGGACACGCCCTGGTGCCTATGAACCAAATCCCAACTATGAGTTAAATAGCTCGACTGCCTTGTGGAAAACTTCGGGAGAAGAAAAAGCTAAGGAGTAAAACCTACACAAATCCGAAGTAGAGCCCCTAAGGCCGATTGACGGCACTTTGTGCTACCTTCCGGCAACTCCTGCAGCCGCGCTGGTACCAAACTGTATTGGTTCATCCTCTCCTTTGGACTCTGCCAGCAAGGCCGAGAGGGGGAACTAAACGTCCGGGTAGCCCTAGTTCTCCTTACATCACGCCCAGGTTCGTAGCGCACTGGAGCGGACACTCCAGCGACGTCGCAAGACGTCGGCACAACAGCACTACTCCATCCTCTCCCGAGACGGACGGATGCCGACGACGACGACATATAAAGAAGACACGATCACATTTCTCAGTATCCATATTAAATAAATATATATTTAGTGCAAAATGTTCAGCAGACTATAAAATTAAATCCAAGCTAGACATATAAGATATAATTTATTTTAAAACTCAAAAGAGAATGTGTAATTAATTTCTCTGGGAGTATATGACTAAATTAACCAACTTTCCAATGCGGCGTATCGCCTTTATTTCTAGAGTTCATCTTTGCGTCTCAACAAATTCAAGGCACGTTTTTGTTATTGACCAATATCCCCTTCAAGCCATTGGTTCTTTTCATTGAGTAATGTCAGTCTAAAATACATTTGTTCCTTGCATCGAGCAGTATCAACTTCTAAAATATTACATTATCTTAACATCACACACAATGATTTGTTTCTTTCAGTGTCGAATATTCCCTTCTTGAAAGGTTGTGCGTTGCAATAAATGTGATAGATGTTAATTTTTCTTTTCCATAAGAAATGTATATTTATCAGACCCAATTCTGGAGATATATAGTTAAATATAAGACATATTTATATTTAATACTTATTTTCCTTTTATTCTCTGACACAATTCTCTTTTATTCGACCTTATGCAGTTAACGTTGTATGAACCATTTTACGTTTAAATCACAACTAAATTGGTTTACAAAGTTTAGATTACAATGGCGTACTTTCTCTTGGAGAAACATTTCTCCAAATATTTTATAGACAGCTGTGGTGAAGCTTGTCTTGCAACTAAATAATTGTCTATTTCCTCAAACTGCCTGTGGTTAGATTTAATAATGGAAGATTTCGAATGATAATTTCCAATATTAACGAGCCCATCGACACTCAAATGATTGGTGGAATACAGCTTGCTTAATTCATATTTAGCCTCGTGTTAGAATAAGACTGGCAATGTCTAAAGATGATAGATTGGTTAATAAAATAATTGCAGTATTAAGATAGACCCGGTATCTATCTATCTATCTATCTATCTATCTATCTATCTATCTATCTCTTCATTATCTACCTGTCTGTCTACCTGCTCATTATCTATCAAACTGTGCATTATCTATCTATCTTTTTGTGCATTATCTAACTACTCATTATGTATTTATTTCAATGTGCATTATTTAGCTATCTAAATGTTCATTATATATCTATCTATGTGATCATTGCCTATCTTACTAACTATTCATTATCTATCTATCTATCTATCTATCTATTAATTAAAGATTCCATTTATAATATTCGTCTGAAGAAGTCCTTGTTTTCCTGTATTGTCATTCAAGTATGTGTCATTTAAATTTGTGTGTATGTATAGATAGATAACTATATAGATAGATTTAATAGTCTTAGTTTGAGAGATGTTTCTGAAGCCAAAACTTTGAATGATTTGCAGATAGAAAAACATTTAAGGCAAGCAGGTTTTGTGGTAGAGTGCTCAACATTAGGAGATAGAGATCGAGCGTTAATAGAAATATTATGAAAAAGTTTTTTTTCACTTAATTGAGCAGGATTTACGCCATGGAAATAATTCTCAGTTAACTGAAAAAATAGATAGATATATATGAACAGATTTAGATAGATAGATAAATAGATAGATATATAAATAGATGTGAAATATTTAGATAGATATGTAAGAATAGATTTAGATAGATATATAGATAGATGGTATTTGAAAAATCTTCTTCATAATTATATATATATATATATATATATATATATATATATATATATATATAACATAGTATAGGATTGGTGTATACGGAATAAATTCTAATAACCAACAATTACTATTCTTAAAAGAGTGCTCAATAGAGAGTAGAGCGAATATAATTATTTATTTAAAAATCTATAACATACTTTATAACATATTTATGTTATAATTTTTAAACAAATAATAATTATATATATATATATATATATATATATATATATATATATTCACTCGCATGGTCATGTGTGACGCCATGAGCTGCGGTGCGATTATCGCTTCCGGCGTCTTATATGCACGTGTTTATCGTTGCTTGGAAATCATCGATGTAAACAGAAACACACTATCATCACTTTCTTGTCCGTGTATTACTTAATATATTGTATTGTAATTGTCATTTTTGATAATGGCTTATGTAAGCCGAAAGCTTAGATAGGATTAAAAAATATCTATCAATATTGTGATGTTCTTTCTTCGTTTAATGATAATGTTATTAAATTTATCAGTCGTTATGAAAAAAATTTACATAAAATAAATAGACAACACTTGTCTATATTATTTAATGAAACATGTATGAATGAAAAAATGCTGCCTAAATACACAAAATCTATATCTATATATATATGATATGTATATATATTTAAATATAATATAAAAGGGAACATTGAAGTCAACACTCATATATATATACACACACACACACACACACATATATATATATATATATATATATATATATACGATATATGACGATTGCGTCTAACATGAAACAGCCTGTCGCCTCTGAGTGTTGACTTCAATGTTCACATTTATATTTACATATGCTCTATCTCTGATATTGAGTATAGTACACTTTAATACTATATTTCTTCATATATATATATATATATATATATATATATATATATATATATATATATATAGGATATTTGTACAGTTTTACACAACCTTTGTCCAGAAAAGAAAGCTCTTGTTAGAACACAAGAAAAATTAAATAAATAGCTTAACCGTAGTACCTTGTCTGTCGTTTCTAATGAAACATGCATATATATATATATATATATATATATATATATATATATATATATATATATATATATATATATATATAGAACGTAAATAGTACAGAGAGACCGTTTCAATATTGGAGAGAGAGAGAGAGAGAGATAGAGAGAGAGAAAGAGAAAAGAAATTAATTGTACTTCTTGGGTTTGATCATTAATATAAAATATTGGAATGCTTTAATTGTTAGCATAGTTCATTACGAGTTACTTTTATATCACAAGCGCTCCATACCTGTAGCATTATGCCAAAATAGATTATGCTTAATAAACTGCATCGATATGTACGAATACTAAGACTTTACCCATAAAACAAACAGACAAAAGCATATGAATATTAAATTCGAGAACATAATCATTGTGGCAGAGGACATATTCCCAAAGATTGTTGCAAGTTAGTTGGGACAAGTGTCTCTCTTGGAATGAAATGAGATTATTCATACCAGAGAAGTGATGAGGCTGGTAGGGAGAGTTTAGAAAATCTCAAGAGATTTCCTATTACTTGAACTCCAGCGACAACCTCTAGGAACCGCAGGCGTTATGATATAAATAAGAAAAAAATGAATCACTGAAATCTAGAATGATCATGAGATCAAGGTAAGGAGATTCCAACTAATACCAGGGGCAGTGATTTCTATACTTGGTTTCAGATAGAAAATAAATCTGAGATGTATACAGTAGAATCCCTGACAACCAGACTAAGAAAGCCTTCCGGATATGAGGAATTGGTTGCAAAGTTTGGATATGAAGAGTTACATTTAGATTAAAAGAAAAGGACTGAAATCAGGTTTAACATTTATTTTCAATGTTTGATAGTTAACAAAATAGCAAATAGTGAGTGAAATATAACGGAATTGGTTTTAACGAAAAAAATTATATAATGATAATGAAATTTAGGAAATTAATTATGCCACGTATGCAAAAAAAAAAGAAAGAAAATAATGTAACGAGGATTTTTTAATCGATGCCGCATGATGATACTTTCTCTTCTAATGCCATTCCCAACTTTTTCCACATTTCATTTTGCTTTTGTTCTTGAATTTTTTTAAAACGAAAGACATCTTTTCACTTTGCGTGCGTTATTGCAATCGTCATAGCTGAATGCTAGCTTTCTTTCCATAGAACTGACAACCTTTTCAATAGCTTTTTCAATTTCAGTCCAGCTTTCATCACAATCATGCATCTCATCGCTATCTTGTTACAGATGTGGTCTCGTTGTCATCCTTTCCGCTTATTCCCATCGTCTTTTGCCCCAATACAAGCCATTAGGGTGAAACAAGCATAAGCAATTATCCAAAGTAAATTTTCTAAAAGACAGAAATTTCAAATCAATTAGATATCATCCAAATAATTCAAATATACACATCAAAATCATGTCCAGATATGCGGGATTTAGGATATGAAGCACTCCGGATATAAGAGATTCCGGATATGAGGAATTCCGGATATGAGGGATTCTTCTGTAATAAATGTTTATCGGGGAATTATATGAAACTGGAAAAGACATAAGGTTTGAACCATTAAAAACTAAAATAAGAACAAATGAATAGAATCTTCAAGTATCTTCTGACTAGATTCGAATTTAATAGCTGCGGAAAAAGTAAATATATTATAATTATTCAAGCAATAATAGTAGAAAGTAAAACATAAAAGCAAACTAAGCCCGAAAAACTAATAGAATTAGAAAATGAAATAATACCCATGATAATACAAACTGTCTATATATCTGAGATGAGGTATTATGTACATTATTTACATTATTCGGACTATTGTCCTCATCTATGTCACCATAATTATCACAATGTTTCGGACTTTCAGTATATATCTATATTTCTGAGATGAGATGTTATGTACATTATTTACATTATCGCGGACTATTGTCCTCATCTTTGTCGCCATATTTATTGCAACTTTTCGGGCGTTGTACGCTCCGGCCTTCTTCAGTATCTGTCTATATTTCTGATATGAGGTATTATGTAGATTATTTACATTATTTGGACTATTGTACTCATCTTTGTCGCCATATTTATCACAAAGTTTCGGCCGTTGTACGCTCCGGCCTTCTTCAGTATCTGTCTATATTTACATATATATTTACATTATTCAGACTATTGTCCTCATCTTTGTCGCCATATTTATTACAACGTTTCGGCCTTTCAGGATCTGTCTATATTTCTGAGATGAGATATTATGTACATTATTTACATTATTCGGACTATTATCCTCATCTTTGTCTCCATATTTATTACAATGTTTCGGCCGTTGTACACTCCGGCCTTCTTCAAGGACACATTGCACAGTGGATAAAGGTGTTAGTTAGATCCAATGACAGGACCCAAAGAGTGTGAGTTCAATACCCAGCTAAGGCAGTGGAGAACTTTCAGCGGGAAATTAACAGGAAGTAACTGATAATTGACATCCATTAAACATGGCATGTGGAACTAGAACAGTCTACCCCAGTGAGCGAAATAAAGGGTTCAGTTTGACATTTCAACTACCTGAAGAAGGCTGGAGCGTACAACGGCCGAAATGTAATAAATATGGTGACAAAGATGAGGGACAATAGTCCGAATAATATAAATAATGTACATAATGCAAACTCTTTTTCTTTTCAGCGCATCAAATTTGATACTTGCGTTACAGAGATGCAAACCTGCTTTTAGTAGGATTATGTTCATTACGCGTAAGATAAGCTCATAGTATCACCCTGTTCTCGCTCTAATTGACGAGCAGCAACGATAATAAGAAACACAACATTGTTCTCTATAATATAATATATTCAATATAATATTCAATATAATTAATAAGTTTTTTTTCGGCTTAGTTCTCTTTTTGAAACAATAAGATCGTTTTCTCAAATTAGAAATGGAAAGGAGAAAAATATAAACCAACCGTTTCTTCATTAAGCGTAATTAAATAATGACAAATACAGGAACTGTCGAGTAAGTAAACATTGTTTTTTTTTGTTCTAGTATAATTTCTATTATTTAGCAATTTGTTTCTGACAGTGTACGGTAATGATAGTAACCATGAAAGCCGACATTGACTCATTAGAAAATCAAAGAAAGTGTGAATTTCAAATTAAGGGCGCAATTTCGTGCAATATTTCTTTTCTTGAGAACATAAATTCTCAAAGTCGAGGATATTTAAATAAAGACTCCGAAGAATATACATAGGTTTTGTGAAAAAATATCGGCGTGACTCACTTTTCAAAATCTGGTGAAATGAGTAAATATCAAAGTAAATGACAAATATTTCTCAGTTGTGTTATGGAATTGTCATTGTCGTCATCTGACGTGCATATATATATATATATATATATATATTCCTCTCTATATTCCTCTATATGCTTCTTATATATATATATATATATATATATATATATATATATATATATATATATATTTATAAATAAAAAAAAGAACAGTAAGATATAAAATCCGGTGTTCTTATAGATATTTTTATTTTACAAAATAGTGCTCAATGTAAATTTACAGAGCATTAATATTATAAATTAATTGATTTAAA